CCCCTCCCATCCATCTAACCCCTCCCTCCCCCCTCATCCTCTCCCCAACTTCCCCGGAACGAAATATTCCAGATTTACAACTGCGAGGCTGACGGATGCGACAACCGCTACGCCTCCGTCCTCCAGGAGAGAACCCTCTGGTCTGGCGGCGGTTCAACATTTATAAATAATTTTCCCGAAGCCGCCCTTCCCCCCCCCTCACCCCCCCTCCCTCCAACATCCGCGGCTGCCTTCCTGTCGGTGTTTTGCCGGTGTGGGATTTGGAGTGTGGGGTGTCGCAAGGGAGAGGAGGGGGTGTGGGATGGAGAGGAGATGTGTGGATGGGGGAGAGGAGGGGGGGGTGGGAAGGGAGGAGGATGGGAGGGAAGGAGGAAGTGGGAGGAGGTGGGAATGGGGATGGGAAGGGAGAGGAGGGTGTTGGGATGGGAAGGGAGAGGAGGGGGTTGGGATGAGGAGGGGGGTGTGGAGGGAAGATGGGAGAGGGGGTGTGGGATGGGAATGGGAGAGGAGGGGGTGTGGGATGGGGGAGAGGAGGGGGTGTGGGATGGGAAGCGGAGAGGAGGGGGTGTGGGATGGAAGGGAGAGGAGGGGGTGTGGATGGGAAGGGAGAGGAGGGGGGTGTGGGATGGGAAGGGAGAGTGGGATGGGAAGGGGGGAGGGTGTGGGATGGGAAGGGAGAGGAGGGGGTGTGGGATGGGAAGGGGGTGTGGGATGGGAAGGGGTGGGGATAAGAGAGGAGGGTGTGTGGGATGGGAAGGAGTGGACGGGAGATGGAGCGGGTGTGGGATGGGGAGGGAGAGGAGGGGGTGTGGGTAGGATGGGGAGGGAGAGAAGGGGGTGTGGGATGGGAAGGAGAGGGGAAAGGGAGAAGGAGAGGGTGTGGGATGGGAAGGGCTATGAGAAGGGAAATGGGAAGGGAAGGGGAGGGAAGGAAAATAGGAAAAGAAGGGGAGAGGAAGGGGTATGGGATGGGGGAAGATGGGAAGGGAAAGGTGATGAAAAGGGAGGTGGAAAGGGTTATAGGAAGGAAAGGAAAAAAGGAAAGAGAAGGTAAAGAAGGAATGGAAGGCAGGGGAAGCGCAGGGTAGGGAGAGAAGGAAATGAAATGAAACTAAATTAAATGAAAGGGATAGAAAATGAAGAGAAGAAAAGAACAGAAAATGAAAGGGAAGAGAAGGCAAGAAGAAAAAAACCCAGATGGAAAGCGAAGGAGCGTGGAAAAATAACGATAAAAAATGAAGGGAAGAAAGGAACAGAAAATGAAAGGGAAGAGAAGGCAAGAAAAAAACAAACAGATGGAAAGCGAAGGAGTGAGGAAAAATAATGACAAAAAATGAAGGGAAGCGAACAAGGGAGGGGAAGGCAAGGGAGGGAAGGGAATGCATCACCATTATGACCATCGTTGCTTGTAATTACTAGCATCAATCCTGTAGGAAGAGTACCATGAACATCAGCATTTTTCGACTCTATCGCCATTTTCTTCATTATTATTCCTTATTCATCACGATCTTCGTTACCATTATCACTATTCCTATCATTTTCATCATTATTATCATCATTATCATCACTATCACTATCTTCATCATCATCACCCCAATCATCATTTTCATTACTATCTCAGTCATCATTATAATCTTTAATCACCATCTTTATCATCTATCGTAATGTTCATCACTATCACTATCATCATCGTCATCACCCCTTTTATCATCATCACCCCAATCATCACCATTTTTATCACTATCTCCATCACCATTACCCTCTTTAATCACCACCTTTATCATCTATCATTATCATTACTATCTCAATCATCATTATCACCCCTCTTATCATCATCATCACCACCACCCCAATCATCACCATTCTCACCACTACCTCAATCATCACTACCCTCTTCAATCACCACCTTTATCACCCACCATTCCTCGCCTTCCCCGACAAGGACATTCCTCTCCGTCTTATCCGAATGTGTTCTCTCCGCCGACGCCATGTTAACAGCGCCCACGAAGCGAAGTGTTTTTTACGCACCGGATGAGGTCGAGTCTCTCGGCCTTCCGCTGGGCCGTCGCGGGAGCCTCGGCGACTGCGGGCGGGACGCATTCTTCTTTTTGGGGGGTTTCTTCTTTTTTTCTTCTTCTTCTTCTATTTCTATTTCTTCCACTTTGCCTTCTTCTTCTTCTTCTCCTTCCTCCTTCTTCTTCTTCCTCCTTCTCCTTCTTCTTCTTCTTTTCCTCCTTCTCCTTCTACTACTAGTTCTACTTCTTCCACTTTCCCTTCTTCTTCTTCTTCTTCTTCATCTTCTTCTTCTTCTTCTACTTATTCTTCTTCCTCCTTCTCCATCTTCTTCTCTTCTTTTCTCCTTTCTCTTCTACTACTAGTTCTACTTCTTCCACTTCCTTTTCATTTTCATTTTCCTCTTCATCTTCTCCTTCTTCTTCTTCTTTTCCTCCTTCTCCTTCTACTACTAGTTTTACTTCTTCCACTTCCTTTTCATTTTAATTTTCCTACTCCTTTTACTCTTCTTCTTCTTTTTCTTCTCCTACTTCTTCCACTTCCTTTTCTTCTTCCTCTTGTTATTCCTACTCTTATGTAATTCTTCTTTTCTCATTCTTCTTCTTTTACGGTTTGTGCGATTGTTGTTGTTTGACTGTGGGTATGTGTATGTGTGGATATTCGAGGGAAAGAGGGAAGGAAGGACGCTAAAAAACAAGGGAAGAGGAGAGAGTGAGGGAGGAAGGGAGGAAGAGAGGCAGGGAGGGATAATAGGAGAGAAGGGTGGAAGAGGAGGGAACAGAGAGGGAGGAGCAAAGAATGACTTTAATCTGATATTATTGTAAATAATTCTACATATCCTTACATGAATATAGTATGTGTATGTATGCAATGTGTGTCATAATGTATATGCATGTGTGCAATGGTTTGCTTTATAGTATGTGTATGTGTGCAAGTGTGTGCACATGTATGTGTATGTGTGCAAATGTGTGCACATGTATGTGTATGTGGTGCCAAATGTGTGCATATGTATGCTGTATCGTGTGCAAATGTGCTGCACTATGTATATGCATGTGTGCAAATCATGGTGCATAATGTATGTTGTACTGTGGTGCAAGTGTGTGCACATGTAATGTGCAATGTGTGCAAATGTGTGCATATGTATTTGTATGTGTGCAAATGTGTGCCATATGTAATGTGTATGTGTAGCAAATGTGTGCATATGTATATGCATGTGTGCAACATGTGTGCATATGTATATGATGTGTGTGTGCAAAATATGTGCATATGTATGGTGTATGTGTCAAATGTGTTGGAATATGTTGTGTATGTGTGCAAACGTGTGCACATGCATGTGTATGTGTGCAAGTGTGTGCATATGTATCATGCCATGTGTGGCAAACGTTGATGCCACATGTATGTGTTATGTGTTCAAATAATGTGCATATGTATGTGATAATGTGTAACATATTGCTTGATATATAAGTGGTATATGTGTATATGTGTGCAAATGTGTGCAATATACTGTGCTTTAATGTGAATATGTGTGCAAAAATGTGGGTTGCATATAAATGTGTTTATGCTGTTTATGTGTTTATGTGAATATGTGTGCAAATGTGTGCATATATGTGTTTATGTGTATATGTGATGAAATATGTTGGGCAAAATGTGTGCAATATATAGTGTTTATGTTGATTTATGTGAATATGTTGTGCAAATGTTGTGCATATAGTGTGTTTATGTGGTTTATGTGTATATGTTGAATATGTAATGCAAATGTGTGCATACCGTGTGCTATATGTGTGAAACGGACAAGCGGTATCGGAGCGGAAGATTCTCCAGCCCCCAATTATTCCGAGAGGACAGATATGTATTCCTGTCGAAATGAACTTAAAGCCCCAATAGCTACCATTTATGCGAAGCGGGAAGTACTCCACCCCATTTCCGGAGCGATTGTTATTCCCGCGAATAACTCAAAGCCAATGCTACCATTATAGGAAAATGGATTACATATAACCATTTTACGGCATAATTGATGCCATAACTCAGGCATATTTCGCATAACATGCATATATTCAACGCACAACACATCGAGCTGGACAAGCCTCGTATCAGTTATTCAAAAAACAAATAATAATAATATAATAATAAATCTGATAGGCAGAGAGAGAGAGAAGAGAGAGAGAAGAGAGAGAGAGAGAGAGAGAGAGAGAGAGAGAGAGAGAGAGAGATGAGGAAGAGAGAGAGAGGGAGAGGATAGAGAGAGAGGAGAGAGGAGAGCGAGAGAGGAGAGGAGAAGAGAGAGAGAGAAGAGAGAGAAGAGAGAGAGAGAGGAGGGAGAGAGAGAAGAGAAGGAAGGAGAGGAAGAGAGGGAGGAGATAGATAGATATAGATAGGAGAGAGAGAGACGAGAGAGAGAGAGGAGAGAAGAGAGAGAGAGAGAGAGAGAGCAGAGAGACGCGAGAGAGAGAGAGAGAGAGAGATGAGAGAGGAGAGAGAGAGAGGGAGAGAGAGGAAGGAGGGAGGAGGAGGGAGGGAGGGAGGGAGGAGGAGGGGAGGGAGGGAGGGAGGGACGGGAGGGAGAGAAATGGGAGGGGAGAGGGAGGAGGGAGGGAGAGGGAGAGGGGAGGGGAGGGGGCAGGGAGAGGGAGAGAGAGAGAGAGAGAGTGTGAAAGGAGAAGAACATACAGAGAGAAGACAGAGAGAGACAGAGAGAGAGAGAGAGAGAAGAGGAGAGACTTCTATTTCAGAAGCATTGGATACATTTCTCAAACATAATAAATAAAAAAGACACAACCCCCCACCACTAACAAAGAGAAAAAATAAATCACCCATATTCAAAAAAACTCTTCAATACACATCTTAATATATTCTCTCAAACAAAATAAACAACAACAACAACAAACAATAACAACAGGACCCCTCACCACCAATGAAATAACAGTAATAATAATATTAATAATAATAATAATCACCCCATAACAAAAAAAATTAATCCAAATACTCACACACTCCACTCCTCATTGGTAAGGTTGGTCGTCGGATTCTTGACACACTTGTTCTTCAGGATCCCCATGTACACTTGCAGGGCGAACAGGGCGAACACCATCAGGCAGAACACCGTCAGGGTCATGACCTCGACGAGCTGTTTGATGCTGTTCAGGAGGGCGTTGATGATGGTTTTGAGACCTGTGGAGGAGAGAGAGAGAGAGAGGGTGAGTGAGCGGCTGAGTAAGGGGCAGCGGGGGGTGAGTGATGGTGAGAGAGCAGTTACGGGGGCGCGTGAGTGATGTGAAAGAGAGGGGGGTTGGCAGTGAGGGTCAGAGAGGGGGGTGCAGGGATGTGAGAGAGAAGTTAGTGGGTGGGGTGCAGTGATTGTGAGCAGGGGAGGGCGGCGTGAGAGAAGGGGGGCTGAGGAGGGTGAAGGGCGGTTGAGTGATAGCGGTCGGGGGGCGGTGAGTTGAGCGGTAAGAGGGGCGTGATAGTGAGAGAAGGAAGGTGTCCGAGAGATGGGGGAAGAGAGAGGAGGGAGTACCAACTTTTTACTTTGTCTTTCTGTCTGTCTGTAAGTTTGCATGCATTATATCTTACGTGCACTGTCTATCTGGTATATACAAAACGTGTGTTGTATTACAGAACATCTAGTTCCATCTATCTATTTATGAACTGTATGGTTGCCTAATTCAGCCTATATACATTAAATAATAAGTATTAACTACTAACTTCCTAACAACAATAAGAAAACAATAGTTTACATGATACACACTAAAAAACAGTAAATACACTAACTGCTAAGAACAACATACGATAATAATTAAATATAAAACAAAATAGTAATAGATACACCACCACCAACCTTCCACCAACAGCCTCCGCCCGCACTCCCCACCCACCATTCCCTTCCACCAACCAAAACTCCCCCGCCACCGCCAACACCGCCCACCCCACTCATCACCACCACTAAACTCCAAACCCACTACCGCCACCACCGCTAATTACAAAAAAGAATTCCCCATCCCACCAACTCCACCATCCACCACTGATTACACCAAACAACCTCCCCCTACCCACCCATCCCCCTTCCCCCTTCCCCACCATCCCCCTCCTCCCCCCTCCCCACCATCCTCCCTCCCTCCACCAAACCCCCACTTCCCCTCTTCCCCACCATTCACCCTCCCTCCAACAATACCCCCTTCCCCCCCTCCCCACCATCCTCCCCCCACCCTCCCGTACATCCCACAGAGGAGAGCTTAAGACGAGTTGATAGCATACCAATTAAGCTTTTGTCTTTCTACGATCACAATCTATTATCTCACGCCGCAGGCGCCTTCAACATGACTAGACCGACTGTTGTGACCCGGATGTCGACAAGAAATGCCCGGGGAGGGAGGGGGAAGGTGGGGACGTTGGCGGAGGTCAGGGTCGTATGGTGATGTTTCATTGTGTCAGTGACAGTTCTGGGTGGTTCGTCGCGTGATGGTTATCGGTAGAGGGGATGGTAGTTGCAACAGTTATCGGTGGCTATAATGTATCGGTTATGGTTAGCTAGTGACCCAGTCTATGTTGGCGTCTGTGTGGCATGCTTATGGTAGAGCGGATTGCGTAAGTGACAGTCTTGCGCCTATGATGATGGTATCGGTAGCAGTAGTGACAGTTATGGGCTATATTGGTAGAGGGATCGCGTAGTGAACCAGTCTATGGTGGCCTGTGGTGACCGGTTATGCGTTTATATCTATAAATGGTTGTGGTAGTTAGGGATTCGCTATAGCAAGGCCTGGAATAGCCAATGGACGGATAACATGAGACTCTAGTAGGGTGACAATAATGGTTGCGGTAGTAGGGATGCTATAGTAGGGTGGAACAGCCAATGGTTAGGATGATGATACTTTTGACAGTGACGATGAAGATGATAACAAAGACGATAATAGTAACGAAACTAACAGCAACAACGCTAGCATCGGCAGCGAAAAACAACAACAATTTCCCTAACGATAACAACCAAAAACGCAGAACGACAACCGCTCCGACAACAACAACAAAGAAAATGAAGACGGCGGCGGCAGAGACACGTAGCCCGTAGCCTCCAGACCGAAATCTCAACCCAGAAATGATAAACAAACAAACAATTATCTTTCGCGCCAAATTCGCTTTTCCGGGAAGGCGCCAATTAACAGAATCCAAAGACAACATCCGCGTGTGTCTTCCGCCAAAATAAATAGAGGAGCGAATGATGATGGGAGAGAAAAAAGAAAAAATGAAGATAAACAAAAGTTAATAACTTGGGGGATTTAAGAAAAAAGAAAAGTGAGAAATATAACAATACTAATAATGGACATGAAAAAGAAAAGAAGAAATGGAAATTGGCGATATAAATCTTATGGCATCGCATACAATTTGAACCCCTCCTCTCTCTCTCTCTCTCTCTCTCTCTCTCTCTCTCTCCTCCCCCCTCTCTCCCTCTCTCTCTCCTCTTCCCCTCTCTCTCTCTCTCTCTCCCTCTCTCTCCCTCTCTCTCCTCTCTCCTCTCCTCTCTCTCTCTCTCTCTCCCCTCTCTCTCTCTCTCTCTCTCTCTCTCTCTCCTCTCTCTCTCTCTCTCTACTCCTTCTCTCTCTTTTTTTCCTTTCTCCATCCCCCCCTTTATTTTCTCCCTCCTTTTATTTCTCCCTCTCCTTTTTTCTCCTCTTCTTTCTCCCCTCTTCTCCCCCTTTCTCCCTCTCCT